ATAGTACATTCTTGATTTTGAAAACCGTATATTGATTCTTTTAAAATATTGAATTCTAAAAAAAAAAAAAAAATTTAACGGGATTACGGGTACCCCGCCCCGCCCCGCCCCGCCCCGTTTTGGGCGGGGCCCAAACGGGTATCGGGTTTGTCGCGTTTTTTTGCTATCCCTAGTCTCTGTCTTGTGCCTCTTTGTGACAACCTCTTCTACTCCTTATCATTGGCTCTTCTCCGGCATTGGATTGTACCTCTGTTCATGCTTTTTTTTACCCTCTATTACTGTCCCTTTTCACCCCTGTTCGACGGCCTCTGTGCGTGGTATTTCTGGCTGGATTTTGAGTATTCCTTTGTGGACCATTTGAGTGGGTAATTTTGGTCCAACTTGTATGGTGTTGCTGTATGATTTTCGGCTCGTGATCTAAGCGTCGTTCCTTCCACTTTTGGTGCCAATCAATTTGAGCTTGATAGGGAAGTTTTACTTTTGATTTGCTTTGACTAATTTCTGTCATCTATTGAATAGGTAACTTTTTGTGGTTAATTGATTGATAGGCATTTTATCATTACATTATCAACACCATTGACTGCAAACCACGTCAATATAATACAATTTGAATAATTTATATCCACAATATTAGATTAAGTAATTTGGTTAAATCTTGAACCAATCACTGATTTGCACTAGAAATAATTTTGACTTATTTTACAAGTTCCCTTCTAAACAATCGCGTCAGGATGCTTTTTTTCCTTTTTTTTGTTTCCCTCCTTTTGTGGTACATTTCTGTGTTATTTGATTCTTAAGCGGGATTTATTTAGGCTGTACTCCAAGATCGAAGAGGCCATGGGCAAAATAAGATTTAATCGCTCTCTTAGACTTGAGGAGTTAATTGAAGAGTAAGCTAGACTTGACATAATTAAGTTTCAACACAGTTAAGGAAGAAAGGCATTTTCTGTCCCTAGTTGCCAACAGTACTAAATATGTTCTGTATGTACTAATTTATATGTCTCAGTTTGTTTTGTGCTTCAATCTTATCTTTCAGAATTGGTACTTCGAACTTTGAATGAGCACGAAGGAAATTAACTGTACTTGTTTCTCTTTTGAGTTACAGAATTAAAGATTAGCCAAATTTATATCATACTTTTGCATATAGCAATTCAAAAGCACATTTATTGCAAAATACTTTATCTATGAATTATTACATAAATTAATCTTGGAAGTTGCCTAATTTCTTGCTCTATGATCACTGTCTTCAGGCTTCTTTTATATGAGACCCATTCTTGAGAATTTTATATGCAAATATACACAAATCCGTGCAGTCACCCTCTCTACAAACTGAAAATATGCATCCCTCCACTGTTTTTTGAGAATCAAAGATCCACAAATTGCCCAAAATCCTGTGAAAAATCCCAATCCCACAAAAGAGAAGAACCAAACCTTTTCGAGATCGTTGTTATCATCAATGTCCCCGTTGTTTTGACCAGGAAGTGGAGGAATCTCGCTATCACATTCGACCAATAAGGGAAACCCACAGAGTGCATTGTTTCCCATATATATTGATGGATCTATTAGTGTCTGGAACTGGTTTCCTGAAGGAATCTTACCTGACAATTTATTGTATGACAAATTCAGATGATTCAGAAAAGTTAGGGAAACCAAGGTTGTTGGAATAGGCCCTGACAGTTGGTTTTTTGATAGATCTAATGTTTCTAACGACTCTAACTTCCCAAAAGCTGACGGGATCCGTCCACCCAAATGATTCATCGACAAGTTTAATGTTCCCAGTCTGAAGAGGCTCGCGAGTTCTGACGGGATTTCTCCAGATAAATCGTTGCTTGAGAGGTCTATACTGTTAACAAGGTACAGCTGCGAGGACGAGTACTGAATTATTCTTCCTTTTGCAATAAGCCGCAAACCCCCCTCATATCGAGCGGCATCATCCGATGTAAACTCTGTCTGAAAGCCACTCAGATTTCCAACACACGGGGGTATAAACCCGAACAGGTTATTTTTGGAGATGTCCAATATGTGAAGCTGCGAGAGTCTACAGATTTCTGAAGGAATATTTCCCGTAAAAGAATTGTTCCGTAAGCGTAGAATTAACAACGATGGCATGTTTTCTCCAATCCAAACTGGAATTTTTCCAGAGAATTGATTGTCACCTATATCAAGGCTATTTAGTCGGGTACAATTTCTTAAACTGGAAGGCAATTCTCCTGAAAGATTGTTACTAGAGAGGATTAAAAATTTGAGAAAAAGTATAGACCCTATGGAGTCTGGAATTGTACCAGAAAGACTGTTATTTGACATATCAAGTATGTAAAGCATAGGAATATTTTCCCAAAATTGAGGAATATTTCCTGACAGACGATTGTTTGAAATGACTAGGGTTGTTAATTCTGTCAGATTTCCTATAGACAGGGGAATTGTTCCATTTAGTTTGTTTTTTGAGATGTCTAAATCTGTCAGAGAAGGCAATGCTGTCCCAATGTTTGAAGGAATTGGTCCCGAAAATTGGTTGTCCCTCAGATACAAGGTAGTCAGATTAGTAGACCAAAGTGGGAGAGGTCCTTCAAAAAAGTTTGAACTCAAATCAACGTTCGATCCAGAGGAGAAACAGAGTGAGTTTGGTATCTTACCACGTAACTGATTGTATGCGACATCAAGTTCTTTAAGTTCCAAACCCATATTCAAGAACCAATCCGGTATAACATCTGTAATCCTCGCGTAGTTGAGTACAATGGTCTTGAGCTCGGTTTGATTCCTTAGCCATGTTGGGAAGTTGGGGCCAAGTTGGCATGCCTGAATTTTTATATAAACGAGTTTAAACGAGGGCATCCAGTCAGAACTAATGTTGAATACCACGGAAACATTTGGCCGCAACTGACCAATTGATAGTTCACGCAAGCTGGAGAGATTCTTAAGATGGGCTTCTGTTATGACACCTTCCCACATGTTTTCAGACAAGTCGACTGCATACAAGGAAACAAGTTCTCCAAAACTCACTGGGATTTTTCTGGTCATTTGTTTTTGGAATTGACCCTCCGAAAGAGTTGTGCCAGAGACGAAGATATATCAGCATCTTGACGTTGCCAAGTGAATTGGGAAGGTTACCAGTCTATTTA